ACAGTCGCAAGAAGATGGAAACAACCTCAATGCCAATCAGTGGAAGAATAAATAAATAAACTCTGTCACATACACACAATGGAATGCCACACATTACTAAAGAGTCATGATAAAACCATGAAAGACCTCAGACATGAATGGATTTGGAGGACAATATGCTGAATGAAGTTAGTCAACTATCAAAGAGTAAATAATGTATGAGACCACTGCTATAAAATAAAAATCAAGACAAAGGTTTTAAGACCATTGGAAATAGACTTTTGATCCCAGGGGTTCAAGAGAAAGGCAGTAAAGGGAAAGCAATCAGTTAGAGGGTCCCCCCATCACCCCAAATCTCAACATTTTATGGCGTTGATTCCCACTCCCCTGGAGAAGGACTGTCCCTCTGGGTTTCCGAGGCTGTAGCTCTCTATGTGAGAAGAAAGCCTTATCTCTCTCCCAGATGGTGATTTTGAACTGCTGACCTTGTGGTTAGCAGCCCAACTCATAACCACTACGTCACCAGGGCCCCTATGTTTAGAAGGTCGACAAGTGTTAACTGTTTGAATGAAGAAAATGATAGCATACAAGAGGGAGAAGAGTCAAAGGGGGGGGGTGAAGTGGGGAGCAGGGCAAGCAACTGGGAGATTTGATAAGCTGTTTACATTGTTGAATATAAAAATGATGTGAAATGTAAATTCCCAACTAACTGACAAGAAAAAACTTAATTAGGACAAACATGTGATGCTTTTAGGGAGGTACACAGTTCTCAGAAAAACCAGCCTTACAAGACACACAGGGCAGCACGTGTCAGATGCAGGAGTGGCTAGGAAAGAATGGCCGGTGGCAATGGCAGTGGGGACTGAAGTCAGTCACCAATTAAACGGTATGTGTCAACTGTTTAATGGAAAACCATTTTCTCTGTAAACTTTTCCCTAAATCACAATAAAAAATTACCCACCCACCCACCCCAACAAGTTTGATGCCTCAAAGTGGCCACATTTCAGAATTAGACCTAATGTGACCTAAAACCCTTCCAGTTCGAAAACTAGATGAGAGGGAAAACAAACAAACAACAACAAAATCCCAGCTCTCCTAATTTAAGAAATGCACAAGAAAGCTTGTAAGTGCTAATAACAGCAGCAAACGCATACTAATATATACTAAGCAGCACAATAATATAGACTATGTACTCGTCACCGGTTTTCAATGTGTCTAACAGAGTAACACATTTAACTTTCAGCATGGCCTGACTGTTATTATCCCTGTGGAATGCCTGACACCAATCAGTAGTAGGGGGTGAGTGGTGTCTATCAAGGCAATTGTGAGACAATGGAAAAGTTCCAGGCGAAGATGGTGAGTTCTTAAACTAAGCAATAGTACTGGGTGCCAGAGGAGAAGAATACATTCTAGAGTGGTTGTTCAAGGAAAACTGATAAGAACGTGACCAAGGAGAGGATGAAGAAGAGAAGTTGAGGAAAATTCCACACGTTCTACCTTGAGTAGCGGGGTGGATGGGAACACCATTAGCAAACATGAAACACAGAAGCAGGGAGGAAAACAGGGTTTAGGACAGGGAGGCCAAAGAGAAAGGGAGAGGGAGCAGGTAGGAGGGAAAAATAAAACCAAACTCAACATGACCCTATAGGACAGAAAGCTGTCCCTGTGGACTTCTGAGGCTGAATAGGGCTATCCCCGTGGGGGCTTCTGAGGCTATACATCTTCATGGGAGTAGAAAGCCTTATCTTTCTCTTGAGGAATACCGGTGGTTTTGAACTGGATGGTTTTGCCTTAATAGTCCAGCTTAT